GTTCTAAAGATGACTTACTTGGATAACGTCATCCACTTCGGCTCTAATAACAGGACCAAGAATGCCAAGATGCTCTTCATACTCCCCCCGAGGATCACGTTTGGTGAAAGTGCTATCAAGATACTTTCGAAAAACCACTTTCTTGTATATGGTACCCTCTGGAATATCGTCAGTGTCTTCCTGATCCATCTCGCTGGAAAGATAATAGTATTTGTTTAAAAGAAGAAATTACAGGCTGTTCAAAGAATTTAGAAAGTTGTCTTTTTAAATATAGTTATCTAGAGAAGGTCTTTAATAAATACTTAATGAACAAATAGATGAATATATGAGAAATCCTCAGGCCAGTAAATCTTTTAACTCTCAGCTCAAATATCATTTCTTACATATGTTTTCCTATGATCCTTTTGACTAGGTCAAGTTTCTCTATATCATTTCTTATATTTCTATAGTAGTAGATGTAGTCAATTCCTATAGTATTCCTATAGTACCTATAGTAAATTATATACAGGGTGTCTTCAAGTCACCCTACATACACAAGAAAAATCGGAAATTGTAGCTAAATGTAAGTTTATTTATGAAATATTCATTACAAAATTTTATAAAATATTTCTCTATTTGTTGACACACAGATATGAAAAACGAGTTTGTTAACTTTCCTCTGTATGGCCACCTTTGGAACACCCTGTGTACTTTGTGAGGTTATTAATATCTGACTCTGTCACTAGGGTGTAAGTCCTGTGAGACCAGCTATTGTGCCTAGTTTGTTTATAATTTTCCCAGTGCTTAGCATGTTACCTGGAGCATGGGAAACCGTGTTTGTCCGATACATACATGAATGAAAAAATATAAACATATGTTAACATAGCAAATTTTAATATCAAAGGCAGACAAAGCTAGAAAACTAGCCAAACCTTTGTGCAAATTTTGAATAATCCCAGTATACTTCTTCTGCAGCAATAAAATAATTTTTTCTGTTCCCATTGTTGCTGTGGAGGTACCATGCTGCAATAAAGAACCCAGAATAAAGAACCCAGCCTTACATGACTCTTTTTTAAATTTCAAAAGGTTTAGGTGGCACACATGTTTTTGTGACACGGATAGCTTTCATAATGCTTCAGTCTGGACTGTAAGTGTGCCCAGCTCCTGAATAGGGTTTATGGTACCTGTTAGGTAGGTTCTTACCCCTCCCCAATATGACTTTCTACCCCTAAGCAAAATGGAATTGAAAGTGATCTTCAGAAAAAGTATACATAATCCCTTAGAAATTCTGATGTACACAGCAAATTCAAAGGAGATTTCTACATCGCACATTTGGATTTGGTGCCTACTTTAATTATAAGGTTGAGTTCTGCATGAAAGCAAGAAGAGGGGTAGGAACACGTGTCCGAGGGGAAGAGGACATAGGAGGAGGATTGTTTAACTCCAGAATAGCTTAGACTTCTCAAAGCAACTTCTCTTATGTTGTCTGGGTATCCTCTAAAGCAGGGGTTCTCAGCCTGTGGGTTGCGACCCTTTTGGGGGTCAAATGACCCTTTCACAGGGGTCGCATAAGACCATCTTGCATATCAGATACTTACCTTACGATTCATAACAGTAGCAAAATTACAGTTATGAAGTAGCCACAAAAATAATTTTGTTGGTTGGGGGTCATCGCCACCTGAGCAACTGTATTAAAGGGTTATGGCATTAGGAGGGTGGAGAACCACTGCTCTAAAGTGAAGGAGCTAGTCATGTAATTGACAAGAAAAAATGGTGTATAGGCTAAGGTGTACATAGGAGAGCTAAATATACCTGGCCTCATTTTCCCAGAATTATCTCCCTAGACTGTGGCAGCTACTTTATGTAGCAGTAGTATAAATGAGACGATAAAAGGAGAAAACTAGCCAAACCTTTGTGCAAATTTTGAATAATCCCAGTATACTTCTTCTGCAGCAATAAAATAATTTTTTCTGTTCCCATTGTTGCTGCGGAGGTACCATGCTGCAATGCTGTCTGGATTTCTGGAGGAGTTGATATCTGTCCTAATATCAGTTTGGTAGGGATCACTGTAGGCCACATAATCAATTTCAACATAGTCGTCTTCAGCGCTCTGCTCCTCCTGCCTTGGAATAATCTCAATGTAATCTCCATCATCTCTACCGAGGCCTACTACGACCAGGGGATTAAATTCCTCTGTTATAAAAGTGTCATTGAGAATAGGAGATGACATCTGATCAAGGTCTAGATAAGGAAAAGTCTCATTAAGTTCTGGGAGAGGCAGTGACGCAGAATCAGAAGGGTAGAGTGTGTGATCAAGGTCTAGAGAAGGCAATGTCTGCCTGAGATCAGAAGGAAAGGTTGTCTGACTGATATCCTCAGAGAGTGTCACCTGGTCACGGTCTGGGAGAAGGGACACCTGACTGAAATGTGGGGAAATGTTTGGCTGACTGGGGTCTGGAGAAAGGGTCATTTGGCTGACATCTGAGAAGGGGGTAGTCTGACTGAGATCTGGAGAAAGTGTTACGTGGCTGAGGTCTGGAGAAAAGGGCATTTGATTGAAGTCTGTGGAAGAGCTTGTCTGAGTGAGTTCTGGAGACAGTGTCATCTGGCCAGGGTCTATTGGAGAGGTCATCTGACCCAGGTCTGGGGAGAGGGATGATTGGCTGGGTTCTGGAGAGAGGGTACCCAGGTCTAGGGAGAAGGTTGATTGGCTGAGGTCTGGAGAGATGGTGCCCAGGTGTGAGGAGA